TGTAAATTTCGTTTTTAGCTTGTCCCCCCCTGTTGGCATTTTAAAGGTGGTTTGGATTCCTCCCCCCAGATCCCTGCGGCGGGCGGGGGGGTTGGGGAATTCTGGGAGTTGAAGTCCACACATCTTAAAGTTGCCAAAGTTGAAAAACACTGCTCTATTGGTTGCTTTAGGACTCAGAGTTTTAATACTAAACCAGAAAAGAGTCAGGTGTGCTAGACAGAATATTACTTCTTTTTTTAGCCCTCATTGCTCTTGAAGTTTTGCAGGTTCCAGAATCTCACCACAAAATTAGGCTCTGTATCTACTCCTCTTTCTGTTTCTCTACAGCCTCAGTGCCACAGTTCACCAATTCACCAACCATGGTGATCATGGTAGGATTGCCAGCACGGGGAAAAACTTACATCTCTAAAAAGCTCACTCGCTACCTCAACTGGATTGGGATACCCACTAAAGGTAAGGAAGGGAATACAAGATTCATTCAAGGTGGATGGAATGGAAGGGCAGAGGGAGAACCTCTTCAGCCAAGAGAAAAGGACTTCTTTAAAAATACCACGCCATCCTAGTCTCCATCTCCCTAGTGTTCAATGTTGGGCAGTATCGCCGTGAAGCCGTCCAGACATACAAGAATTATGAGTTCTTCAGCCCAGACAATGAGGAAGCCATGCAGATCCGGAGGTGAGGAGCTTATTCAGATGTGTTTGCTATGATAGAGAAGACAGAGGACCTGAATTCAGACCTCTATGACAGGGAAAAACACATTGAGGCCTCTATTTAAAAGCAAGTATAGTACCGTTGAGTGAGTGGTGGGTTAAAGAAGGCTTGGATTAGTCCTTCTCTGCCATAGAAGCCACTGGTTGAATTTATGCTAGTCGATCCCATCCAGATTTATTTCATGTGGTGTTCATAAGGAGCACAAAAATATGCAAACATAAGCCTGATGTCCCCAGCTGGGAAGCAGCTTCAGAGCCTTTCTCTTCCACTCAGCTTTCCTTAAAGTTGCCGAAGAGAAACAACAGCATAGGAGTGTAGTGGGGAAAGCTGAGTGCCCCAAGTGTGTGACTGTTCCTGAGAAGGGACGGGATACAAAACAGTCAGAACAACAGTTTTGTCATAGGAATTTCTTCTTCCCTTCCCAGCATTTTCTCACTAAAATGACAGCTGTGCAAATAATTTAGCCCAACTTCATTCCCATCATGGCCAGCCTTCTAAATAGGCAGAGTGGACTGGATCCAGAGCAATAGACATTCTTATATCACAGCTCTTGTGTTATATGTCATAATTCTCATAGTCTCCTCTGGAAAGTTAATCTTTGTGGAGTTGCCATCTCCAAGTGTGACATGAATATGTTTTCTGAAATGTTCGTAGTTCCCTGCATGTGATGTCAGGAAGTTATGGTGCTCTGCATTGCTTAACACTAGTTTATTTACCTGGAATGGTTGCCATACCCTCCATTAGACAGGACAACATGACTTAATCAACACAGCATCCAAGATCATCTTCATTGGCTTCCAAGTGCTTTCAGTGTACAGTAGATACTACATTTCAGGAGTTAGTTAAATATTCCACACTGCATTAGCCATTATCAATATATTAGATTCAAGTTTTTTGTCTACTTTATATATTATTCCCAAACTATTGCACCAAGTTAATTCTGCACCAAGAATTCAACATTTGGAGAATCTCAATGTTTGTTTTGTCTTTAAGACAGCTTTCAAGTCCGCAGGCTGATGTGGTGGACTTGGAATTATATGCTCAGTGCCTGTGGAAAATCATGGAAGCCCCCCAAGGGATGGCAAGTGGGGTGTCTTATGTTTGGGACCGTTCTTATTCAAGGATGGAACTAGGATACATCTGGCAATAATGTATACCTTTAGAAAAATCTAAAATAATACATATGAGGCAACAGTTTTATTAATTAAACCTGCTAAATATTTCTCAGTGTCTTAAGTTTCAGTCCTTTTTCTGCAAAAGATATTATCAAAAGAAAGCATGCAAATAAAGCAATGCATATCTTTCAAAAGAGACCAGTTCTAATTGCAACCAGGGTATTTTAAGTAAATGCTTAGGGGAAGAAAACATGGAACAACTGAAGTTTAATAGACTAACTAAAGCAATGGCGTCCTTAGAGAGGAAGATTCTCCTGCTCTACTTTTGTTATGGACATGCCAGATCAGGCACTCTCTAGACTTTCCAGATTGGTGTGTATATTTGTATTGACAGCACACAGATGGTTGCCATGGTGGGTGTAGCCATTCACAACATGCCCACGTAGCAACAACCACAAATTGATGTTGTTTCCTACCACAACACCCCCTGTAGCCTGCCAGGATGACCTCCACCATTGCAGTGGACTTAACTTTGGGGGAGGGGGGTGCAGATGAGAAATTTTCAGATAGAGCCCTTTTTGTTTTCTGAAAATGCATCCATGGCATACGTGGGACCTAGAAGCACTCTTGGATTTTGCAACGTGCTACCTTCCCATTTAATTTTCTTGTAAAAAAAAAAAAGAATCTTTGAAACAATCAGATGGGACATAGAGCCCGATGTCCAGCTGAGGTCTCCAGCACATTCCCTGCATGACCTTCTTTGGGGACACAGGTGATACAGTTCTTGGCAAGCCATTTGGTGATTTTTGTAAACATAGCTAAAATAATGTACATGAAATCTTCCACACATCCTAATGTGCTGTTTAAAAGCTAATCTTTGGTATTGTATTATAAAAATGCTGAAAAGGGATGGCTCTAGAGGAGGAGTTAGTACCCCCACTACCCCCTGGAAGTTAATACAAAAATATAGTTAGCTGTTAATACAAAAACAGCATTTCAAAGATCCAACATAGTTTGATTGATTGATGTGCCATCAAGTTGGTATTGACTATTAGTGACCACATAGATTTTCTCCATGACAATCTATCCCTAACCTGGCCTTTCCAACACTGCACTCATCGCCACTGTAACTGAGTCCATCCACCTTGATGCTGGTCATCCTCTTCATCTCTTTCCTTCTACCTTTTCCAGCATTAGAGGCTTCTCCAGAGAGCTGGGTCTTCACATAATGTCCAAAGTAGGATAATTTGAGCCTGGTCATGTGTGCCTTGAATGAGAACTCTGGGTTGATTTATTTGATGATCCATTGGTTTGTTTTCGTGCCTGTCCACAGTCTTTTCAGGAGTCTTCTCCAGCACCACCAAAGTTCAAAAGTATTAATTCTCTTTCTACCCTACTTCTTCAAATTTCAAGGACATAGCTTGCTCAGCCAGGAAGGCTCTTTGCCTCTTCTGTATTCCTGTATCTGTTTTTTGGTTAATGTGCTGGTTGGTTGGTATT